TGACTACGGACCACGCCCGACCAACTGTAAGTAATTCCTCCCCTGCTCTCCTTCCCTCTTCTGGGTTGGCCCAGTCTCTGTGATCTCCGGCTAGCTCTCCATCCGCACAGAGACCTCCAAATCGTGCGCACGTGGGCTCTGTTCTCCGCTGTTTAGCCTCCTAGTGGCTGTGGAGACGTCCCAACACTGGCTTGGCCCCGTAGAGGACTGACCTCTAATCCGTCTACTGAAGTCCGGGACAGGGGACGCCTTGCCCGAATTTCAGTAGATCTGGGCTGCCGGAGACAGCATGGGATCTGGCCAATCCTGAGGGTAGGACTCAAAATGCCCCCTGGCCTGCCTCCTAAAGAACTTGAAGAAACTGGGACTGGCCCAGGACCTACGGAGTAAACGCCTAATCTTCTACTCCACCCAGGCATGGCCTGATTACCTTGAGAATTTCTGCCGCAGGGAGAGAAAATGGTCAGAGGTCCCATATGTCCAGGCTTTCTGAAACCTCTGCTCCCATCCCTTCTCCCCCACTTTCCTCTCTGCCTGCTCCATGGCCCAGGTCTTGCTGGCCAAGATCAGACCCCCACCTCCTAAGGACGCCTCTTCTGTGTTACTGCAAAACTCTCCACCCTCCACCTTTTCGGACCCTCCTGAGTTCCTGGAGACCCCACAGCTAGCCAGGAACCTCCCGTCCCCATATGCGCATTCTTCCGGCCACCGCCATGTCCTGCTGGAAGCCAGGTGGCCACGTGGCCCAACCACGGGTGTCAAGCTCCCCACCCCCATCCTAATGGGAAACTCCTGCTTCCCTGGCCGCCCTCCTGCAAAGTTTTAAAAGGACCTGTTCCTGACACGTGGCTCTCTAGCCTCCTCCTCTGGTCTCCTTTCTCTTCTCTCTTCTCCCTGCTCTCTCTTTTCTCCTCACTAGCTCCTCTCCTCTCTTGTCTCTCTCTTACACTCTCCTTCTCCCTCTTTTTTCCCTTCTTCACCCCACCCCTGTGGTCTGCTGGGTTTTAGGTCAAGTGCCTAAGCCCCACGTGGCTAACTGAATATGACATTATGGGCCTAAGGTGTTGTTAGGAAAAAGGCAACTATAACTGTAAAAAGACACTGAATTTTAAGAAATTTCTCTTTAAATCTAGGAAGATCACTACCTTTGAAAATATCACTTTGTAACTTGCTGAACTTTGCAATTTATTTTAACAGGCTTCTGGGCAATCAGTATTCAATAAAACAGCAATGGGTAATTAGTACTTGTTTTAAATAAATGCAATTTTAATTTTAATTAAATTCAGATAGAGATATTTAAGAGATATTTCCGAATACATGTATTCCTAAAATTTATAAAAGGCATTGGACCTTCTGGTAAATGTTTTCTTAAGTTGTTATCTAATGGTTGAAACTGTTTGCTAAGTTTTCACTTGATATTGCTATTGTCAGTAAGCGATCTGGGACTGGCACCCCCATTTCTCTATTCTAAGTCCAACCTGTTCTCTCATTTCTCTATTCTCGTTGAGGTAGGAAACTAATTTTATTCCAATGGACTCTCCAAGATGCAAAATTTGATTTTTAGATCTTATAAAAGGGATAGCTAACATTTTCTGTAATAATAGCATAGCCAAAATGAAAGCTTTAATTATAATTTCACAGCTAGATCTACTTTGCCATCAGCACAGTAAACAGGGAAGACCTCCCTTTCAGACCAAAGGGAGAGAAAGTTTTAAAGCGAGGACATAGCTTTCCTCACAGGCATTGTCTACCTCAGAAAAACCACTATCAGAACATGCCTGTGACTACAGACTTCTAGTTTAGGCCACAAAGACTAGAGATGGGACTTAAGCACCCCCTTGACTTGCATCCTCTGGTCTGCTCTAACAAAAATCAGGAGGAAAAGAAAGCTAGGCATCAGAAATGTAAAGATAGGTGGCAGCCTATTAATGGCTGTTCTGTACAGTGATCTGCTCTCAAGGAGACCCAGCAGGCCAGTCCATTGCAGTGGCTATCAATGTGGGAAGCCTGGGCTTCAGCAGAAGTCAGCTTATGAAGAGCCCTGGCAGCTCTGCCAGCCAAAAGTTGGATCGCTGGAAATGGAACTGCCCTGGAGTTGAAGGACGCCCAGGTCAGAGCCACAGATCTTACTGGCGCTAAGCTGAAAAGCCCTTCACTCAGCCCAGCTTCCAAAGTGACCACTGCAGCTGAGGGGACAGCCAAGTAGGGTCAGCAACATTGCAGGCAGCACTGTAAATTTCCTGTTAGAGATGCCACCTGCCTTTACCTGGCCAGCTCTCCTCCCAGGCCAGGTAGGTAATGGAAGTCAACAGGGTGCCTTCCCCAGGAGGTTCACACCTCCCTTAGGATGTACCCCGTGTGAAGAGATAGGTCTGGGCCTCTTAACTTACAAGGCCTAATGCCCACCAGATTATTTTCAAGCCCCTTCTGTCAGGTTCTATTTGCCTCTCAATCAGCAAACATTGTTGTGGCTTAGATAGTATCTTTCTTAGGTTCTCCAATAATGACTCTGTCCTTTGTTCTAGACACTGTCTAGCCCACTTGGGCCTCATTCCTTTGTAATCACAGCCTCTACTCTAACATCAATGGCTCTGCTCCCAGCCTGTGTGTACTGATGGTGCTCTCCTCCACTTAATTTGTATGATTATTCAGAATTTCTCTACAGACAAACCCTCTACCTGCAAAAGTTGAGTGGCCTTTCTCCCGGTCTCAGCTGGGATCAGATTTAAACCACGTCCATCAAACAATCCTCACAAGGGTCCAGAGACCCCCTCATTTCCTCTCCTCTATGAAATCCTTTCATTACCTGGTTAGTGCCACTCTTAGGATCATTGGTTGCTATTCTCACCCTGACTTGTATACTACAGTGTCTGTTTAAGTGTTTACAGCAGGTGATAATGGAATGAACCAAGGCCATCAGCAACCAGGCAGTCAACCAGATGCTTCTCCATCCATACATGCCTGTCCCTGCGGAGCCCCAAGATACCCCCAGTGGGCCCCTGTAGACGACGTCCCCAGTCAGCAGGAAGTAGCCAGAGAGACTCATCATCGTCCCCTTTCCTATCATCAAAAGGTCAGGATGGTAGCTTCAGGATCCACAAGGAGGGAAGGCCTATACTTCCAGGAATGCAGAGTCCCTATCCGCACTTCCGGGGAAGAAAAGTCCTTGTTGAGGTCCCTGCAGGTGCCTAAAGGTCAACCAATGAGGATCAGACCGGCCTTAACCTTTAACCCCCATGTCCTGTATCTATAAAAGGAGCCCTCCAAACCTCTGACGCGTGACTTCCCTGGCACCCGCTCTGTTGAGACCAGGAAACCTCGCCCGGGAGCAGAATCCCAATAAAAGCCTGTGAATTAGGCGCGGCTCACTAGGCTAATCCTCTGCCTTCCGGCACTGGCACACCGGGTTCTAGTCCTGGTGGGGGAGCCGGATTCTGTCCCGGTTGCCCCTCTTTCAGGCCAGCTCTCTGCTGTGGCCAGGGAGTGCAGTGGAGGATGGCCCAAGTGCTTGGGCCCTGCACCCCATGGGAGACCAGGAGAAGCATCTGGCTCCTGCCTTCGGATCAGCGTGGTGCGCCAGCCGCAGCACGCCAGCCGTGGTGGCCATTGGAGGGTGAACCAACGGCAAAGGAAGACCTTTCTCTCTCTCTCTCTGTCTCTCTCGCTCACTGTCCACTCTGCCTGTCAAAAAATTTAAAAAAAATAAAAATAAAAATAAAAAGCCTGTGAATTAATTGATTCGTCTGCCTGGAAAGATTTGTTTCGCGCCAAACACTTTGCACCATTCACTCCAAGCACTGGAAAGATATTATCTATGTGCCAAGACACAACGAACAATCTAATTGGGTACTTCGAAAGTTCAGACCTCAGAGTTGAGAGATCAAGTTCTAGGTGAGTTTCTCTCCCTAACCTGCTGGGGGGATGATTTGACTCCTTTGAGATTTTCTGTCCTGTAGGACGGAAGGAGGCAAACTTTCTGTGTAGGATCAGACAGCAAGTATTTTGTCTTTGTAGCCTATGTGGTCTGTGTTGTAACTACTCACCTGTGCTGCTCTAGCCTCAGAGCAGGCAAAGCAGGGCATACAAGAATTGACATGGCTGGGCTCCAGTCACACCTTGTTTATGGACACTTGGGTTTCATATAATTTTTATACATCATGCAATGTTACTCTTATCTTGAACTTTTTTCAACCAATGAAAAATATAAAAAGCACTCTTCGTTTGTAGACTACACAGAAACAGATGGTGGGCCTGCAGGCTCTAGTGTGTCAACCTCTGACCCAGGCTCAGCAATATCTGCCCCACTTACTTCATCAACTATGAAATATTTTACAAGTAAACATGTTAATTATATAAGAATAGGAGAATGCTGGTTTGATTATAGTTCAAAAAAAATGATCTAGAGACTTCCGTCACATAAAAGCCTACAGAAAGGCAAATCAGAACATAAAATAGACATTAAAAATGAATGTAGCTCTAGGTTGATATAACAAGCAGAAGGCATCCATGTCAAATGAAGAAATCACTCCAGTATTATCTGGTTCAGACACAGGCTTACTGTGAAAACCAATTATCAGGATGCTGTGAACAACTTAGTAGTATCCCTTGGAGGGAGACTATGCTCTTGAGAAGTAAAATCATGTGTTGCCAAGAAGAGCTACAGAGAGAAAGGGAGGTTTAAATGAGGAGGAAGGATGAGACTTATCCCAAAATCAGAATCACAGATGGGGTAAAAGTCAAAAGAGAATGACATCAGCCGGACAAAAAAAGAGAATTCCTGGAATTCCCCATCAGCATAAGTAAGTGCTGATTCAAAGGCAGATCAGAGGTGGTGAACAGGGTGGAGAAAGAGGAAGATCTTCCCCCAGCCTCCCAGAATCAAGCCTGTCTCAGCTGAGCCCTGAGCTGCCAGGAAGGTCCCACTTCCTGCCCAGGGCTGCCACACCCAGGGACACAATTAAGTGACTTTTGGTGATGAGGTGAAAGAAACAGTATCTTACCCTTCTCGTTCATCATCCGTGTTGTAATAAACCTGTGGATAAAGCAAGAGGCTTACTGTAGGGGACACACACGTACACATGAAATGGAACTGCATTATAGGACATATGGACTTTCCTAAGGCATAAATTGTCTCTTTAAAAAGACAAAACATAACTCTGTTTCATGATGCTCCTTTGAGTGTGTTTCTAAAGAAATGCAAATTTAACCTCTCCCCATTCTCCCCCAGTTAACTGCTAGACTTTAATGTAATGAAATAAAATTTGGAAATCTGATCCTTTCCGGGTCTGATAAGATGACCTGCGAACCTAAACTACATCTTGCTTTTGAAGTGGACATTTTGGCAGGACCTTGAATGTACTGCTTGGGTGGGCCCCGATGGCAGGAGGGCCCCCAGAGCAGGGCCTGTGAGCCACACATCCCACTTGGTTCACAGGGGAGCTGCAGGGCCCTGTGCTGCTGGGGAAGGGGCGGGCAAGAGGGTCCAGGGCAGCACGGCAGTGACCCCCTGCCTCTCCGCTCCTCTGGGCTCCTCTCCAAAGTGGCCTGGGTTACCCTGGCGACCCACAGCCCCAGACATTTGGGAGTCGACTGTTCTTGGACTGGGAAACGCCATTTAGTCTGGAAGGTGTCCCTGGCCAGAGATTTCTTTAAATCAGAATTAGAGAAATTATTTCTTTATTAGTTTCTGGAACTATGGGAGGTGATGGAATGAATCCATTGAGAGGGGATCTGCCATTTAGATATTCTTTCTAAAACGTATGGGCTGACTGCGAGCTTCAGAACCGTCTGCATGTGCTGGAGAAGAGAACGTGAGTATTAGACGTTTGCATACTAAATCAGAAAGCAGCCTCTGATTCCAGGACCCTGTCCCCAGCCCAGGAGACAGCGAGCTAGGCCCAGACTGACAACTTCCCTGCAGACTCGTGGCAGCCCTGGCTCTGGCTCTGGTTCTGGTTATATAACAGAACCGGTTCCCCGGGACTCTCTGGAAATGAGTCCTCCCAGTCACTGGCTCAGATTTCTATAGGAACATTTTCCCCTTAATTTTTTTTTAATAACTGCTGTTGTATTATATACTTTGTTTCTTCTTGAACAGAAAACAAGAAAGTTTTTTTCTTTTCCCAAGATACAGTGTGACACCCAGAGCACCTGTCATTGTGACCTAGTAGAAATGGGACCCGTCCATTTAGATGCATTGAGAGGGTCCCACCTGAGGGAGGGGGGCTGGGCCATGCACTGGCCACAGCTGGCTTGTGTTTTGCTGGTTTCCTTAAAGGTAGCCTCATGCATTTCTCCACCTAACTCTGACAGACAGTTCTCTGCAGTGGCTGCTGACGCCTAGAAGGAAACAGGCTCTAGTGTTTCTGCCCTCCTACATGGCCTCAGCACTGTCCTTTCTCTGCCATTTCTCCTCTCACATAGTGACCCACTGTTTCTTCCCTCTTGTCTGTTGGGCCCTTAGCACTACTTAAAGTTTCAAACTTTCGAGTGCTCCAAAAACGATACCCAGAGACGTTATTACAAAGGCGAGTTCCTGGGGTTGGAGCTCGGGCATCTGGATCCTTCTCAGGACCTCCTGTAGGCAGGAGGAAAGTTGCTCGCAGATCCCAGAATACCTCTGGAGCAGGTGGAGGGGGAGGGGCAGCGTTGAGGAAGGCGGATGCCTGCAGAGGGCGCTGTGGCAGACAGGATGTCGCCTCTGCACCCCACAGCCACTCCAGGCTCCCCCACGGCCTCCCATCCTTTAAAGGAATTCCAGACACAAGCAGCCGGCGGCATCCGGGCTTGCCCAGGAGAGTGAGACTGCAGGTCTCCCTTGCACCTGCATGTTGGATTCATTCCATCACCTGAGTTTCACTGTGAATCAGTGAGCGAACCGGTAGAAAGGGATATGGCCTGATGGTTAGTCTTGAGTGAACAGGAAACACTGCTGCCGTGCCTTTGGCATGGCTCGAGGTACCATGCCAGCTGCGGGCCCTGCAGCGGTGCAGACGTGGCTGGTCTGAGCAAGGCTCACACCCATTGCGGGCACAGAGCTGCATACCACTGCTTCCCTCCGGCTACCGTCTGCTGACCCACCGGCTGCATGCCACAGGCGCCAACCCCTGCTTAGCCCCAGTGGCAAGGCCAGGGAACTGCCTCTCGCGATGGGTGTCATAGGCATCTAGCTCTTCCAAGAAAAGCAGCATTTAGGGGCCCCTGCTTGCTTTAAGCTTTGCCTTTCAGCTCCCTCCCCGCACTGAGCAGGGCAAGCAGCATGGTACTCACAGATTGTTCTAGGCCACAGCTGAGCGTGTCCTTTTTTTTTTTCTTTGCCTGGAGCCTGGGCAGGCTCCCTCCCTGACTCTCTGAGCACAGGGGAAGCCCAAGGCTCTGCCAGCGGGGCAGAGAGACAGCAGACTTCACTCCCCGGTGGCCCAGCGCTGTGCACATTGGGCTGCTTTGCAGCTGCAAAACCAACAAGCCATAAAGGCTGCGCTTTCCCTCTCAGCCCAGCTCAGGACGGGGTGGGAGGGGTGATGCAGGAGTGCAGCAGAGGCTGGACAGCCGAGAGCAGCCCAGCCATGCGATTTTCCCCTGCGATTCAGGTCCAGCCTGGTATATTTCAGAGAAATCCTGCCCAGAGAACAGGTGGCATTGTCCACGTTGACACGCAGCTGACGGCAGACGGGTGGCAGTCCTTCCTCCACCCAGATGGCGCAAACGCCTCACTCCATCGAATCACCGGGCAGAGCCACACAAGCCACTGCCACATTCTTAGAAATTAAAAATCAAATAATGGGTGCTGGTGCTCCTTTCTTGATCAGCTGCAGAATTCTTTCCCTCTCTGTCCTTGCTCCCTATCAAACGAATAAGCAGCAAGATGGGAATGCTAACTTAGCACACATTTCCACTAAGACAAAAAAGGCTGGGTGTTCTGTTACCATTTGTGTCACCAACAGCGACACCACCACCACTCTGCAAGGCTAACTGCTTCGTCTCTTCCTTTTAATGGAAGAACGCAGGGAACACTGGGAGACAGAGAAAGTGGAGTCGATAGAGATTTCTCCTTCCAGACCACAGTCAGTCCAATGAGGGTCTGTGCATTTGCAAGGGAAGGAAAATGTGAATGTGAAGTGTGCTTCTGTTTTTCAGAACAGGCCTTTCCTCAAAGGACTTTGGGTTTAAAGGAGAAGAAAGTATTACAAAATTCCCTGAAAGCCAACTGGCCTGATGAAAGGCAATCCTGCCTACTGCTGGAGAAAAGATAATTTTTTTTCTTTTCCTACAATTTTAATGGGTCACATAGAAAGAAACACTATCATCAAAATTTTTAAAAATCAGGCAAATCTGATAATCCCGTAAAAATGTTGCGATTTTTTGTTTTTGCTTCAAGTTCAGTTATTTTATTTGGAAACACAGTATAGAAAAAAATGGTTTCCTATTTTAATTCACTTTTTTGCATTTAATATTCCAGACTAATGCTCAGGTCCTACATAGTTTCCATGTTAAAATTTTAGCCCATCAGCCTGAGCTACCAACATATACGTGAGTTTCATTTGAGATCTTTAATTTCACTTGTAGATGTATGGAGAGGACAGGAATCTTTTAAAATGGACATATGTCTAAAATTTAATTCTCTTTTGGTAGAAAATGATTTGCTTATTCAATGAAAATTATTAATCTGCTAGGGAAAATTTGTTTTTCCTTGTGCAACTTTATCGAGTTCATGGGTGCAACTATATTTACTACCATTAGGTGGCGCTCTACTGCATCAGTCTAACCCCACAGGACAAGGCTAACAAAAGGAAGCTTCTTAAGTCATCAGCCTTCCAGCTTTCTCTTTAGTTACTTGGTCTACGCTGCACCGATGTCAGCTCACTCTTTTCTTCCCTTTAGTAACTTTCCTCTCCCAATATGCTCCTTTCTATAAAAATCCATTTTCTGACTGTTCCTCTAAAGGACAGAAAGTGGGTTTTGCTTTTGTGACCAACATTTCTGTCTTCAGGCCCTCCCAGCCCTGCAGATGAGGGGCAGGTGGATGCTGGCAGGTAAGTCATACCTGTCCGGTCCTCTGCAGGTTTGCAAAATGCACGTCAGGAATGAAGAGAACGGGCTGTGAGTGCAGGTCGGGCATGGTTTTGAAGTAGGTGATGTCACTCTTCTTCTGCAAAGGTATGGCCACCAGCTTCCCATCAGAGGCTGCACACGATCACAAAGCCAGTAAGTGAGAGGGCTGCGCATGACCAAGAACTCAACTGCAGGCTTCGCGCGAGCTCACGTTCGTGAGATTCCCCTGCGAAGCTCCCAGAGGGCACAGATGCCATCACCCTTGAATCCCCTCTCCCCCACCCCCGCCAAGCCCACTCAGGAGGTCCCCTCCCAGCCTCCTGCCCCTGGGTGCCCCAGATTCTGTAACTGCAAGAGGATGCTGGTCTCCCTCCTTGCACAGAAGCACTGTGCTCCTGGGATGCTATGTGCTTCCACAGGATCAAGCATCCCGGTCTCCCCACGAGGGGAGAGCGAGCCACGCCTTGCAGATGTGGAGTGCCACCACAATAGAGTTGCCCAGAGTCAGTCAGCCTCAGTGAAACTCACAGTTGTTGCACTGGGTTTGGGAGGCCTGGCCTTTCCCTTTCTTCCTGTTCTGCTTTCTCTCTTCGTCTCGGATTTTTCTTTCTGCTCCCTGACAGAGAAAAGCAAATACAGTTAATGCCAGGCAAGTTATCAGAGCGTGCAAAAAATAGCGTCTAACACACACACACACACACATCACCGGGACAAGAAACAAAGCAGGGGAGGAGACCAGGCAGCCCCGTGGCCATCCCTGAGGCCAAGCTGGACCTCAGTCCCAAAGGTCAACACAGCTCGTGAGTCTATGCTACGTTTCTGAGCTGTGGGGGAGCCCAGATCTGTCTCCCTTTTTCTTGCCCATTTAAAGAACTCCAGCTTTGACTCCACACAGAAAGACCAGACTTAGCGCAGTGACGCCTGTCGAACGACTCGGCGATTATAAAATGTGCCAAGATGAGGCACTGACCCGTGAAGTCCTCTCCTACGCAGGGAGACGGCCGTGAAGTTGACCGTGACTTTCCTATAGAGCGTTCCCTTCGCTTGTTGGGACAGAGCTTGAAAATACCACGCCGGGGGTGGGAATGATGGCAGGTGCAAAGCCAACGTGGGGTGCAGGATCGCTCTGTCCATGCGAGCATGGGGTTTGTCTTCATCTCCATCCTGCCGCGTGTTCTTAGAGATGCTGCTCATTCAGCCAAAGAGAAAAAAGTGTGCTGTGTTCTCTGCCTCCTCGCTCCTCCATTCCTTGTCATCTGACGTGTCTGCTGGGTCCCTCTGCCAAATCACCAAATCCCATCCGGTCTAACCAGTTGGTTATCGCCTTATCTCTTTCCTTCACGGCCTGCACTGATTCCCTGATGATCTTTTTCTCTTTGCTCTTTCCTCAGTGCCAGCTTTGTAACTTGTTTTCCTCTGCTCACCCCCCAAATTCAGACATTCTAAACATTTTCTTTTCCCTTCTCATTCTTGCTGCTGGTGGCTTCACCTGCATCACGGTTTCACAACACCCTGGACAGATTCCATTCAGACCCACACCCCCCGGCCTAAGCTCTTTCCCTAAGTGGCAGTTCCAAAGCGACAGCTCCTACCCATGGCAGCAGCAGAGTGATCAGCAACCTCTAGCCCTCACATCACCATGTGAAGAGAGCTCAGACAACATAAAAATGTAATCCTCTGTACACAGAACCAAAACAAAACAAATCAATGAAAAAACAAAGGACAAATTAGTGAAAACACTAGCAATGCTATACTACAAAAGAGTTACATTGTTCATAAATGATTCTCAAGTCTGGCCAAGGTAACAGAATGGGGACTGATGGTCACCAAAATCAATGAGAAGGGGAAGGCTTCGCACCTGATTCTTGAGAAGTGAAAGCTAATAATGAATATTTTTAGGGCATTTTCTCTGTGCCAGGAGAGTTCTCAAAACTTCTCAATGCTTATTTTTAAACACCTATAATATTTTAGCCAGATAATGTAAACATGTATTTTTTTATATCAAAAACTACCAAAAGAAGTATTCTACTAATTAATAACAGAAGTAATCATTTTATAGTGCTTCGAAGTTTCGAGTCGCCATCGACACTCACAGATTGTGTAGATTCACAATAAGAGGGAGATGAAGCAAGATCTGCTTTGGAAGTCTCCTTCAAGATACACTAGGATTTTGTACAGCACCTGGGTCTGTGTCGCCTGCAATATTTTCAGAAAGTGAAGCGATACTTGCACAGACATCAGCTTGTTCAAAAGGATGAGAAATACAAGAATAATCCTGCCTGTATATGGGACGCAGGCATCCTAACCTGTTTCTTCACCACTGGGCCAAATGGGAACTACTGCCCATTGCTGGGTCCACCTAAGGCACTTTCTACGTGTTTGGAGCTCTGTGCTATTTAGCACTTAATATGAATAGGAGTGTGGCTCTTTATTATCTACCTATATAAATTACAACTCACCCAAGACACACCCCAAGGTTAGTCAAGGAGTTGTATTTCTGAATTAGTGCCGTACCAATGAGGAAACAATCAGATATGACTGTCTTTTAATATTTATATACCTGCAATATACATTTTTAGGAAATAAAAAGTCACTGCTGTTGTTCTATAAGCATTCTTTGATATGACAAACCCAAATTAACAAAATATAAAATAGGTCTCTATAGAGCATAGTCTTGGTGCCATTATTACATAAAAAAATTTCCTGCCCCAGATCTCAACAGGACTAAACAATTACGTCAGTAACCAAGCACTCTTGGGAGAGCCATTGCTCTCGCTTCTAATATAAAGCCTTGGACTTTACAACGAGCCATAGAAGCTTTGATACATGAAATGAAAATGAAGAACTCTTCCCTTGATGAGCCCCTTAGGGATTCTATTCCTTCCTATGATTATCTGCGGCCTGAAGCTTCTAGAAAACACCCATTCAACCCTCACTTAAGTGCAGAGACAGGCATTCGCCTAGTGGTGAAGACACGGGTAGGATGCCTGCAGCCCATACCAGAGCGCCTGGTTCTGAGTCCCGCGCCACTCCTCGTTCCAGTTTTCTGTTGATGCAGACTCTGGGAGGCGGGAGCAATGACTCAAGTAGTTGGGTCCCTGCCACCCATGTGGGAGATCTGGATTGAGTCGCAGCTTCCAGCTCCAAACCTGGACCAGGCCCTTGTGGCCATCTGGGGAGTGAATCAGTGGGTGGGAGCTCTTGTTTCTCTCTCCCTCTTTCAAAAATATAAATTTATTTTTTAACTTTAAAAAAGTACAAAAGACCATGGTTTGCAGCAAAGACCAAATGTATCATGTGAAAATAATTTCTTCTACTTAAATGTTTGTGATGCAGGATTAAATTTGAAAAATGCATCTGAAAAATTCCCCAGTGTTCTGTGAATACTTTTACCAACCCTTGAGAGGTGATGGCTGTCTTTGCTTCTTAACATGTAATTTATTTTAAGAATGTGGCTTCAGGGGCCACTGCCTGTTCTTTGGCAATCACTAGGTGATCCTGCTATCTTCCCTGACAGATGCTACTAGCACACAGGCCGTGGCAAATCCTATTTGGATTTGTGAAGGTCTCTTATCACCTGCTCAAGGGATTTTAAGCTTTGCTAATCTAACCTCTGTTTTGGGCTGTTATTGTGGTGCAGGTTTAAGCTCCAGCTGCCCTGCTTAGAATTCAGCTTCCTGCTAAGGTGAGCAGCAGCAGAAGACCCAAACCTGGGCCCCAGCCACCCATGTGGGAGAGCAGGGTGAAGCGCCTGGATCCTGCCTTTGGCCTGCTCTAGAACTGGCTGTTGTGGCCATTTGGGGAGTGGACCAGTGGATGGAAGACTGATATCTCTGTCTCTCTCTCCCTACTAATCCTTCTTTGTCTTTCAAATCAATCAGTCTAACTGCAAGGTTTCCTTAACATAGGGTTCAGGGAGAGTCAAAGTGCGTGTTCAGTAGGTGCATGTACACTCGTGGAATTATTTAAGGTGCAATTTCCATTCCAAAAAGTTCCAGATGAGGCGCCATCAAACCCATAATATAATAAAGGTTACACTGATTTTTTTTCTGGGGTCCAATCTATCCCCAGTAAAATTACTAATCTGCTATTTCAGCTATCTAATCAAACCAAACCACATCAGAGCATATAAGGCACAGGGTATTTGCATTTCTTGAAAATACTTGTGCTAAAGTCCTAACCTCACAAAGTAGTGATATTTGGAGGTGGGGTGTTTGGGAGGTATTTGGTTTACATGAGGTCATGAAGATCGAGTTCTCATGATGGATTAGTGCCCTTATAAAGAGAGACACACGGATGCACATTCTTCCTTCCTCTCTCCTTCCTGTGAGAACACAGAAAGATGGCCACCCAGTAGCCAGGAAGAGAGCCGTCAGCAGGAATTGAACTGGCCAGTACCTTGATCTTGCACTGCCCAGCACCTGGAAGCATGAGGAACACACTGCTGACGTTTAAGCCACCAGTCTATGGTACTTTGGTATCGCAGTCAAGCAGACTATGACACAGTGATAAGTCCATCAGACACTTATGTTAATGGAAAAAGTGATTGACTAAAGAATACATAAAATAGAATGCAACGACTGATAGTGACCCCTTAGATATCTACTAGGAATTGAGAATAAGGTTAGCACTCCCACTGTGATGGAGAAGTGACTGACACCACTAGACAAGAGAAGAGGGCCGTGGAGAGTAGGATCTAGTTAGAGGAACGCCTGAATGACCAGCTCCCATCCTTACTCACTTTGTCACAGAAGACCTTGATCTGGCAATAGGCTCTGTGAATGGGTTTGTTGCTACGATTGTTATAGCTGTAGGTGTCGATCTGAATCATCAGAGGAAGTCCTTTCACTCCTTTTTGGGAGGAGAAGTCCGTACTCAGGCAGTTCACAGTGATGAAAATCTGATGGAGAGAGAAAGAAACAGGAAGTTCACAAGTCACCATAAAAAGAATCTACAAAAAAAGTATAAGCTTTAGATCTGAAGTGAAAATTCTAAACAAATCTCTAAGGATAATAAGAATGTTTTAATATTTCCACATAAAATCTGTTCAGTGCATAAAGCATCATATATATAATTTAAAATTAGAAATATTGCTTTCATTATTTGACCTTGAAACACATCCTTTAAATTTCTTTCCTGAAAGTTTATCAGCAAAGTCTGACTTAATTGTTTTTATACAGGCAGAAATCAGATTCCTCAACATAATAAAGTTATAACTTATAGTAGTTCTACTAGTTGCTCTAATCTCAGACTTGTGGGATTAAAAAATAACATTATCTTCGTTTGCATATCATTGTACTGAAATTTAGTTGTTCCTTTACATAACTATCTTTCTTACATTATCATGAAATATGCGATTCAAAAAATGTGTTATTTTTGAATTATAGTCCTAGGATAGTACCGGAGAACGGGCAATCAAAACACATTTGATGAATGAAGCAATGAGATTATCCACAGGAAGCCCATTAGAGTGGAAGTCAAAAGTCCCAATTTTAGTCCTACCAAATAACTAAAAGACCTTATGCAAATCAATTAATGTCTTCAATTTCCCTTTAAATAATCTCTAAAATCCAAGACAGAATGTCAACACTACTATATTTTCTCATTAGTGAGAAAGCAAAGAGCAGCTGGCATAGGACAGAAGTGAAACGGGGTATTTAGCACAGTGAAGACATCAATCTCCTCACCTTACAGAAGGGGCATCAAGAAATACAGAGCTACACGTACCCAAAAAAGTGAAAATTCAAGTAAAATATCACACATTATAACATCAACCTAGAAAAGAACTAGAAATAATTTTTAAAAGATTTTATGTATTTATAAGTCAGAATTAGAGAGAGAGAGAAAGAGAGACATTTTCCATCAGCTGGTTCATTCCCCAAATGCCCACAATGGCCAGGGTTGGGCTTGGCTGAAGCCAGGATCAAGAAGCTTCTTCTAGATCTCCCATGTGGGTACGGGGATCTGAGGACTTGGGCCATCTTCTCTTTCCCAGGCCATTAGCAGGAAGCTGGATCAAAAGTGGAGCAGCTGGGACTCAAACTGGTACCCATATGGAATGCCAGTATTGCAAATGGCAGCTTAACCTGCTGTGTCACAGTGCCAGCCCCGGAAATAATAATTTATTATAAAATATTAGTGAGGATAGAGAAGGGAGTGTAAATGAGTTAAATTCACCATCATTTTACAAAGTGGTGGCATTTAAAGTAGATTTACTATGGAATTGATGTAGAATTATAGCATCCAGATGTCTATAGTAGCTACATTGACAACTATCAGGTAGTCTCTACTTTGGAATAATATTAACATGAAAAAAAAACTATGAGTAAAAAAAGGAGGTGACATCTAGGGAGAACCAGAACTATATTATTCTCTTGGTACTATTTTCATTTGATATGACCTGTATTACTTTTATTTAACTTAAACATTTAAATGACTCATGGCTTTAAATCTGTAGAATTATGTATTCTGAAAACCATGTCATCAGATGTCCCGAGTAACCCTGGTTTTATTTGGGCCTCTGAGCTTTCCGTTGGCCTCCAGTGCCTGGACCTGAAGGCCCTGGTGTTGCAGCAACAGCACATGCTCTAACCCTGCAGGAAGCATGAGCTGCCTTCTAAAGGCCCGTCTAATTTTTGATGTAACGTCCAGGTCTGGTCTAATCATTCCTTTCAAGTCCTATGCCTGTAGTCACTTACACACCCAGACATCTCATTTCTAGTGCTCTCTACACCTCCTTTTTATTTTACTTTTTAGCGTCTCACTTGGCAGTGAGAACTGCTTTAGTGAGGAGACACATCAGTAGCAGCCAAGGCCCACTGACTGGTCTTAGTAGCCTGCTAACAACAGCCACCTGATGCCCTCACTGTCCCGGCACCATCTGAGAGCAAGCACCTTGGGAGGACAAACTACAGCCATGTTCATCTCATTCACCATTCCTTCAACTTGCGTGTTCACTCATGACAGTCCATGAGCACCCACACACGCCCACAATGGGTCAAACACAACATTAGACCCTGGAGATGGGAGAGAAAACCAAACTCCTGCCTTGTAAGCTGACAGTCCACAGGGAGGACAGATGAGCGACCAAGCAATGGCCAACAGAGAGTGGTCATGGTTGTGGAAAAGAGAGGTGTGTAGAGAGGTCTTGAAACACAAAACGGACCCCTGAGCCTGAAGCGTATGAATGAATTACAAATCCACGCAAATGCTGGGCTCAGGGCAGGGGCTTCATAAATACAGAGGAATGGTTTAAAAAAAAAAAAAGAGCAAAATAAAGATGCAAATATCAGGCGGCTCCAGAGAACGGAGCGATGAAGACGAGTAAATAAAGAATACGCCAGGCATGAGTCTTCTGTGTGCTTCCAGGATAAGTGTTTTGCCCACCACGATCACACAGATAGAAGAAGCTGTTTGACTGCTCCTAGAGAGGTCCAGTTGACAGAGAAGTGTTGAATACCATTCACGCATGCAGCCAATACTCATGAAGTGCCTATAAATTGTGCTAAGACCTACACAGGTGCAGCAGCTATGGATCCTGAAGTCACGTTAGTCCTAAATGAGATGGAAAAGAGACACTCTGACAGTGCTGGAAGGATTAGAACAGCTTCACCATATACTGATTTGTAGGTAAAAAGAAAAAAAGTATATTTTCTAGGGGCATTTGGCTTCTTTCATCATTATTATTACCGGCAATGGGGTTTATGATGTCAGCAAACCAAATAAATGATTACTCTGCTGAGCTATGCAGTTGTCCATAATTTGGACCATACATTTCCTACAGAAATCCCGCTGTTGGTGGCTTTCATCCATCCAGACTGGTTTTTTTTCCCACTCCTTCATGAAGCCCGCCTAGTACTGCAGAAGCCGGAAGTGTTCTGAAGAAACTCCCTAAGATACCAGGTTTCACGGCTGGTGCCCTGATTTCACTGCATGTTACTTCCAGGCAGGCAAGAAGCACAATGAACCGTGGCCTTATCAGCTCCAAGTCTCAGCTCTGGGAGCTGGAGGGATGGAATGGGAATATCCACAAAGACCTCTGCAGGAAAGAAATCCACTGGCAGGTGCTTACAGGCAACACACTACAACAAATAGACTCATCCCCCTATTGGAGGAGCTCTAAATATCAGCAGAGATGCTCTTTGATGGACAAAGGAACCAGCGCACACTAAGCTATACCTGTAGACACTTAGACTACGTTCTCTCAACACAGAAAGGTCCTTAGAAGATGGTCCAACTGGTTCTCTTTGATTCAAGATATCCTGATCTATAAAAGGTAAACAAAAGGAGAAGCTGGCTTCTCTGCCTCATTGTGTGGGCAGCTCCCACTCTTAGCCTAACAGGCAGGGATTTCAGAAGAGGGCTGGCACTGCTTCCTGACCCGGTAGAAAGCAGAGCTTCAGGGGATGGTGTATCACTCATAGTCTCCTGGTGCTGTACTCAAACCCAGATGGTTGAATTTTAACTGAAGTTAGGGAGGAGGGGTTGGAAAGGCATGGAAGGACGTGAACTAGAACCTTGGCTGGGGAACTGATAAGCATAACTTTGTTTTATCCTGCGAACCCAACCATGTCCCAGCTCCACGCACAGCAGGCAAACGTGAGAGCAACTTTCTTCGACTTTATCTACAAAGGACTTGTATGTAAATAGCTATCAGGGAGGCCCAAGGAAAAGGTCCAACTTTCCCCACCGAATGTTCAGCCAATGTCAAGCACAGAAAGTCCTTTTGAACTTCATCAGGTGCCCTGACGGGGTAAGGGGCACTAAAGTGCCATACACAATTATCTATCATTATCTAAGAGCTATGAATGTGATGTGTGTCCATATAACATTTTCAAACTCTCAGTTACTTGCTTTCCTATAATTCTACCAGTACACAATTTACTTTTTTTTTTTTTTTAAGAAACAATTCATTAAATCAAGTGTATTCAGGCAGATAATAAATACAGCAAAAATTGGTCCCTGGTTCCAAGATTGATTCAGATAGGAAGATTGTTTCTAAATGTACCTTTCCCAGAAATAGAAGCAGTCTCCTGATACTTGACATTTTTTAATAAAATCATCCATTACGTATGAATGACGATTCCCATTCTGTGGCTCCTGCACACACAAGTGGCTTTGCCAAGGTAACAACACCTCTCAGTTGTGCGCTACTATGTAGTAACATCTATCAAAATAAATACAAATCAATGAGCTTTATAATTGTTACAGTAACTCAATTATTAACAACCAAGATTTTTCTGAGCATTTCTCATTAAAGTAAATGAGTCTGCCTTTTATTTAGAAAGCAAGGTGGGATTTTAAACATCCTAACATCCATGATTTGAAGTAATGTGTTTTTCTCAGTTTAAGCTGCCCCATTCTCCACTTTGAAGATCTTTCTGATTGAAGACTAAGAAAGTTACTCATTTCCTACTGGTCTGGATTCTACAGAGCTCTCTTGCAAGAAACTGCACATGCATTGGCCTCCAAAGACAGGTACAAGGTACACATTAAGAAATGCCCATTTTACCACTGGCCCACATTCTCTTTTCACAATCAACGTGCACACACATAAAGGTGCCTTTGCTAGTTAATCTTTTTTTTTTTTTTTTTTTGGTTCTTAGATTTATTACAGAATTTACAGACAATTTCTTACATTTCATTCTTTTCCTTCTATTCTGATAGGACTGTGATGCTGATGGATTATCAGTTGTGACAGATGATGAGACTAGAAGTGGACAATGTTAAACGTAAAATCTCAGTCTTGTGCATTCATCTATGTCTTTCATATAGTATTTCACCTAACAGTTGGCAGGCGTCTCCCCTCTGCGCCTGGTGATACGCTAGGAAGTGGGGACACAGACAAGACACACTACTTGCCCTTGGGGAGCTTATCTCTTTAAAAAGGCACAAATTAGC